TGTTTGCCGAGTTCTCAGAGGGAAGCAGAGGTTAATGGGAACGGGACTTTGTTTACCGACGGCTGGCGCGGCCCTTTTAGAACGCACACAGAAAACGCGATCACAAACGCGTTACTCGCTGTCAGAGAATTACAATTAAAAAAAAAAAAAAAAAAGGAGACAGTGTCTCTTAAATTGCTTTGGGGAAATCACCCCCTCAATCCCTCCCAAAAAAAACAAAACACTGAGTTGATAAACAAGGCCAGGGCAGACTTTCTGTGTCATTTGGGGGGAGACACATTTGGGCAAATCTCTCAGGTGGAGCCATCAAAAGCGGCGGTAGACATGATCACCTGGAGACGAGGACTGACATTCGTTTGAGCGTAAATGACTCAAACAAGCATCGGGGGTGATCGGGGGGGGCTGGCATTTAATACTTGATGTTTCCCAGCGGGAGCGCCGCCGTGCGCCTCTCATTCAAACAATGAGTTACGATTTACAAATGCGACGAGAAACAAACACGCGCGGGAGGCAAAGTAGGACAGCGACTCCAACGGGAAGTCGTCCTCAACATTTTGTTGTTGCGCATCGAAATGGCATCGGCGCTCTTTTTCTTCGATGTTGCCCCGCGCGTGTTGGCGGTTTGACGGCAACGTTGAAATAAAAAAAAAAAAGGCAAAACAAACGGCAGCGGTGTTTTGAGCGCGTTTCCCGTCCCGTTTCCCTGCCTGGGAAGCGGTTGCTCGGAGACCGCATCCCCATCGCGACAACTCACGACCGAGCTCAACGTGCATCACGGCGAGGTCAGCAATAAACGGCGACTCGGCGAAGAAAAAGGAAGGAGCGGGAAGACGGCATTGGTACCTGACGGGGCAACATTTCTTTCACGGGCGCAAGTCAATGAAGTGTCATTTAGATGACGGCGAATTAGCGCAGAGCGAGCTAATTAGTTCCTGTTCGAGTCACTGGCATGAATGTCGGCGCTGTTGTACAAGCGACCGGGACGACGCGGCGCCATCTGGTCGACGTGGCCTTCGGGCCTTTGTGCCAATTGTCGCTTTGAGACGCTCCAAGGCCGGCAGGTGAAGACGGTGAGGTTCAATCGACCGGATTTGGGCGGGGCTTGCGGGTGGGAAACGAGACAGTCGACTCCAGTCGGCGGGAGAAAACGGTGGATGAAAAGAAATCTGGGAAAAATGCACCAGCGTGGGTATTCGGTATGACTGTTGACAAAGTTTGGGTCACCTGCCACTCAGGGTCCGAGAGCAAGAGTCCGCTTTCACGTCTGACCAGCGAGGCCAAGAAACAAAAAAGGGCCCTCGAACAAAAGCATCCCACTGAGATTTGACTGCGGCCTTGCTTGCGATTTACATACAGATGCACTGGCAGCATTTGCATACTGTTGTTTTTTTTTTGGGTGTGCGCATGTGTGTGTGTGTGTAGTCATGTGCTCAGGGGAGCGGCATTGTAACATATTGCTGCCTAATGAACTCTGAGAAAAAAAAAAAAAAGAAAAAGAAAAAATTGATTTTCCAGAGAGTAAATTAAGAAATGCATTACGGCTGTTTGCAATCTTGGGGGAAATCGGAGGCTTTCTCTGCTAAACTACGCTTGATAAGTCATAAATGACATGATACACGAATTAGGTGTAATTCACGGCAAATTAATGTAGCGGTGGAGTCGCGAGCGCTTGGGGATGATGTTATTTTGCGGCTTTGGGCTGGGCGCATGCGATGCAGGCAGAAAGAAAGAAGTCGGCGAGTTTGGGTTGAGTCACTGGGAACGTTGGGAAGTGCTTGTGAGCGTCAACAGAAGCATGGCTTTTTTTTTGGGGGGGGGGCGGCCTTTCCTTCCTCTCCTCCTTGTTAAGTGACTCATTGTTTAGAAGCCTTTCGCTGGGCCGGCAACGGCGCTGGCCTCTCCATTTCGTCATCGTCTCGGCCCGCCGCGGTCACGAGACGCCGGGCCGGCCGGGCCTTTTTTGCCGCATTTGTCATCAGTTGCAATTAAGCGGGATTTCTTCTGATCCCCAAAGATTGCGTAATCGGCAGGATCAAGATACTTTCGCTCCCGGTTCAGATTTTTCAGGCGCAAGAAGGACGACGAGCTTTTGGGGTCTGGAATTTTGGAAACGGACCGCTGACGGGGTTTTCAACCAAACTCAAACTCGCATTTCACGCTTGATCCAATTCAGTCCGGTTTGGGCGCTTGAGTCGAAATTTCACTCTGATCCCTCTTGCCTAAAACCAGACGGGATCGACGGGCTACTGGGTGACCAGCTTGCGTTTTCCCTCCTCGATCCCACAACTGGAGGCATTTCTCTCACAAGTCGGAGGGACGCGCGCCACGACGTTGGGCGCGCACATGGTGAAAATGACTAAAGCCGTTCATTCGATGCGCAAGCATACCTGGCAAAACGTTTCAACGCGACTGACACGAAGGCCGGGCGGGGTTGGCCATTAAGCCTCTTCAGTCACGCTTGCGCAACTTTGAAACATCCGCCACGTCCCTATCACAGCGGCAATATTCGAAAGACGGGCAGTCGATGGTTTTTCCGAGTCAATGAGAGAGGAAACAAAATCTTAGTCAATTAAGTGGCTTATTAGCCCGGGACTTCATTAAAAGATAGCGGCGGCCAAGCAGTCTTAAAGGACACAAAGAAGCGACAGGGGTGTTTAAACAGCAGACTGAAGAAATGGCACTGATGGGGGGGGGGGGGAACTTTCGAGCAAAGTCACTTGACACCTCTCACATCCCTCCGCACCTTGAACGACATCAACAGACTGTCAGTTCCCCGCGTTCCCGCTATGCAAACCTCAGGGAGGAAGGTTCCCCGCCCCCCAATGCCAAAATGCTCGATCGCAACCCAGGCGACTCCGACGCGCCACCTTTCTTCGGCAGTTTTACTTTGCGATCGCGTCGAGTTCATTCGGAGCAAAGGAATCGTCCCCAGAAAAGGGCGGTCCCCGTTCCAGATGGATCTTGGGAATCCTACCATTTGTTTTTTTTTTTTTTTTTTGTTTCCCTGAGGCGTCACCGACATCAACATCACGTTCCGCAACAGTTAACAAAACGTGCGTGCGAGCGCAACATTAAAGCAATCTTGGGGGGGCTTAATTAAAGCTTTTGTTCTTCCAAAACGACGGCAAATCAGAGGCAGGCGAACACAGGGGCTGTTATTGTGTCAGCGCGGCGAGGACCGAAGAGCAAGGAACGCTCCAACATCACAGTTCACCGCCCGTGTTGCCATCTCGCCGTCACATTGGATCCAGAACAATGCCACGGCCGACAGCCCGCAGCCCAGAATTATCACGCTAAACTGAATTATTCCTGCCACGTGTTCATTTATTAACAACCTGTGCGTGCGCTAATGTAGCCCGCATTTGCATAGACATTTTTAACCCAGCGATTGTCTAGAATCGGGCGGCGGCGCCGGGGACGGGGCGGGCGGCCAATCTTTCAAACTCCCGTCCGCCGCATGTTGGAATTTTGACGAACGGAGTAGGAAAAAAGCCTCTGAAAATTCTCACGACACGCTCAGATCCATGCCGACGGTCTATCGGCATTCATCGGCCTGCGGATTGAGAGGAGGGCGGCTACGTCGGAGAAAAGAAGAAATCACACCTGCGCCTCTCAACTTTGCATCAAACGTCACCTGCCGACGCCTACAACCTTCAGAGAGACAACTTGTGGCGGGGTTTGAGGGGGGTGGGGGGGGGCAAGATAAATGAGACGAAAAGAGGAGAGGTGTGATGCATCTCCCACTTCGCCCTCAGCGACGCCTGATTGGCTGAATGAGTGAGCCTCATCGATGAAATCGCCGTCAATTTTGCGTTTTCAAAACCGCGCTCCCTAATGAACACGCCCACTCTGCACGCGATGCTCAACGCTCAAGTCAACAAAGCCGTTGCAGGCAGGCAGGCAGGCACGCACGCGCCGCTAAACAAGCTGCCAATCACCCGTGAGATGCAGATGACTGGAGGCCATTGGGAGGCCCGCTTCATTTAAGTGATGTTAAGAACAAACAATCAAAAGCGCAGCTCGGGAGACGGCAACGCATCCGAGCGGGCCCGTGACGGGGAACAATCCTGACATGTAATTTGGAGCTCAAGGAGCGCGTACAAGCAAACAAACAGGCATCCCGCGCTCGCCACGTCCTCCTCAATTTGCCTCTGCCGCAGACGCGCCGCCCGCGACACGGCGAGGAAAAGTTGAAAGAGATGACGACAACTTGTTTCGGAAAGCTTCCGTGACTCGCTCAACAACAACAACAACAAAAAAACACGTCACTTGGAAGCTGAACACGCAATGGCGGCGATACGACGCGGGAGCGCGTGAAGTCAGGGCAGAGAGGGGGGCCAAATAAATCTCGCCTTTCATTTGGGTTTCTTTCTCTTAGGCAGATGTTTGCGAGCGTTGCCGCAACGGCGACGCCCCCCCCCCCCACTTCAGCTTGGCTCATGTTATCTTTGCATTGCCGTGGCGACGCCTCCAGGTATCAAGGAGATTAGAAGCAGTCAGAGGCACTTGTACAGCAGCAAAGCTTGAGCAAAAGGGGGTCTTTAAATATTTAAGGTGGGAGCACCATCACGCATTGTTACTCTAAGAAGAGAAGAACAAAGACTACAAGGCTCTCACTTGGAAAATCATTTACATCTCATTGCCGACACGGATACGGACGCCCGAGCGGCATTTTGTACATTTTAAAAAAAAAAAAAAAGTCACGTGAATGTCATCAAAAAATGAAAACAAGCCAATGACGTCTCATCGGTTGTCATCAACTCCTGATGTTCGACGCGCTTTTCATCGAAGGGTTTCGTGCAAAAGATCGAGCCAAGTCAGTAAACGAAGCTGAACGGTCATTTATTGACGACGGACAACAGAGAAACGACTCTGGCATCAGACGGGGGATGATTTTGACACCTGCTGACGTGCCAAGAGAAATGAAGGGGCCCGTCCCAACTGTTGGGTTCGAGCTGAGATAGATGGCATGAGAACGGAAAGTTTTTTTTTTTTTTTTTTTTAATGCAAACAGTGAACATTACAAGCAAGCACAAACAGGATGGCGTCATTCTGGTATTTATTTTAAATTTGACATTCCAAAATAATGTACAACAGCAAGAAAATGAGCAACGTCTGGGAGTGAAAAAAAAAAAATGCATTCATACAAAATTGGTAAGATGGAGAATTGTAGTCGTAAAATAGCTGTGGGGGGCCGGGGGGCTTTCCTAGAAAACAATAAAATCTTCACATTGTGCTTTTTCATCGCATGTCGGATTCTGGATGATTATTGAGCTCATTTAAAATCCAAGCAATGGGACGAGCAAGCGCGGCCGCAAGCGCAACAAAGCCACCGGTGGAGTGAAGAGGTGCAGCTTTACGGAACGCGACCAAAGTGACTCTAGCCTCTTTAAAAAGAAATATGGCCGCTAGCGAGTGCCTCGTAGCGAGTCGGTGGGCTTGATGACGCCAACGCCCGCGCGGCACAACATTAGGGACGGATCCAGAAAACAGAGGTCACGTTTTACAGTGTTGTAGTACTTGGAGAGTAACAGACGAAACATCCGAGGCCAAAAGGTCCCTCAAAAAGTACACTCAGGAGGTATCGCACGTAAAACCAAACCCCCGCACCCCCCAAAAAAAACAGTCGTCCATCCTACGAGGGGAAGCAGATGCCGCAGCACTCCATGCAGATTTCCAGGCAGTCCGACGACTCGCAGCAGGCGTCCATGACGCCGCAGTCCATGTCGCAGGGGCAGTCGCAGTCGTCGCCCACGTCCTCTGCGCCGCCGCCGCAGCAACAGCAGCACGACGACTCGGACGCGCACGGGCCGCACGACACCGGCGCCGCCACCAGGTTGCACAGCGTCAGGAACTCGCAGAAGAGGCACGCGAGGATGCAGTGGACGCAGCAGTCTGGGCCCACGCGGTCAGTTTTGGTGAAAATGACATCCACGTTTTGGAAGAAATCAAATTCAAGCGTGGACGGGGTTTAATTTGGCAATTAGTACGCGAGTGAGCTGCCGCATGCATTGCCAAGCGAGAAAACGCGGGGAATACGCGGCAACGAATTCCCCGCCATCCGTTTTGATTAACAGACTGGTCAATAATTGCGCCATTATCATGCGCACCGCCAAGATGATCAGCGACGTCTCGCGGCCGGCCCTTCCCGAGCAAACACGCCGATTAGCGTTAGCCAAGCCGCGCGCCGCCGATTAACATTTAACCTCCCCGGACCCTTTTGATGAAGGCGCCGGCAGGTTGAGCAGAATTTACAAATGTGGTCATTAAGCCACCCCCCAAAAGGTGTTTCAAGATTCGGCGGAATTAGTCACCACGGCGGAAAGAAATGGCGTGTAGAGTTATTCATGACAAAAATGTTATTTGAGCAACTTGTGAGTAGTACATTTGAATCGCGATAGTCAGCAACAAGTGGTTGCCTTTCGGTTAGTGGGGACGAAAATGAGATCACCAAGTCCTCTGTGTAGCTGTCAAAATTATACTGGGGAAGCAAAATCCAGCAGAGCGCAACTGCTGATGTATGACTAAAAAAAAAAAAAAAAAATGTACAAACAGGCCACATTTGCATAACTTTCATCAGCCCATCTCGAGGCGTCGGAGTGGGCTGTTGCTGATTGGGTTCGAGGCGAAGGAGAAAGCAGGCGAGCGCGGAGGACGGCAAGCAGAGGACTGCTGGATGCTCATGTTTGATTAATCAAAGTCAACCCCCCCCCCCCGCCCTTTTTTATGCTCAGAGAGGGCGTGCAGAGCTGACCAGGAGCCCCGGCTTGCTGGGATACAAGCAACATGCGTCAAGTGTGCACTGAACTTGGAATGCATCTTATTATGCTGATCTGAAGACTTGCAGGGGATGGAGGGATGGAGATCCTTAACTATTAAGCATATGGCCGGACGTACCCCCGAGGTGCCGAGGAGATGGCTAAACTCCTGGCTGGGCCCCAACTACTTTGTTCAAAATCCCCCCAAAATAAAAAAAACCTCTCAAAGCTCATCCTAACAAACTTTGAAGGACCCAGAGGGCAGAGCCTCGAGTGCTCAGAATACGAAAGAACCGACTGCAAAAAAAAAAAAAAAAAAAAAAAAGGATTAATAAAAAACAGGGTACACAATCAATAAGCGGCGGCCGGCCCGCTCAGCCATTCGCTTGGATGTATTATTGAAGAGCAGTGATTATTTTGGGTCGAGTGAGGAGGAGGAGGAGGCAACACAACCGGACATCGACGGCCGACACGCCGCGGAATTTGGGTGCAAAATATGCCATCATCGCGAGTGAAAATTAAGCCTCGACTTACTGCGCAAGTGAGAAGCAGCGGCCCACCATAACCAGGAAATGACAGATTTAAAACTAAAATTAAAAAAAAAAAATCAGCCAAAACATGGCCATGATATGAAGAGCCTGCCAAGTTTACATTGCGTAGGATGACCAACTCAAGGGCGGAGAATGAGACCGAATGGGCGGAATTCACAATGAGGCGCGCCCATTACAGACCGACGAAGCGCTTGGGCATGTTCGAGCAGCTTGAGGAGCGGAGCTCATTAGCTACAATTACGCAAAAAAAAAAAAAAGCAGCAGATGGATGGCAGGACCCGCCCCAGCTGAGCTGAACAAAAGGCCAAGAACCCCGACGCGATATCTGCCATTGGTTTCGGTGCCAAAGAACACAAGGAATCCCCCCTCAAGCGAGCGAGCTCCTTTTTATTTCTTGCGTTCGGGGGGGGCTGCCCAAGGAGGCTAATTTCACAGGCAAACAGATTATGGTAATCCATGTAAACACTCAAACACAACAGCTTGGCTTTTCTGTTCTTCCCCCCCAGCGGGAAATAAACACTCCGGAGCGGGCGTATTGATGCCAAAAACTCGCGTTTGCTAAACGGTCAACACGCAAAGCCTTGTTGAGTTGCTCTTGGGGTTTTTTCACATTTTTATTTTTTATTTTTTTATTTACAATTCATTTCCTTTCCTTTCCGCCCTTGCGCGGCAATTAAGCGCCGCTGCGCAGGACACGCTTTACTCGAAGTTCTTCTCCACCCGATGCATAATTCAAGTGCGGCAAATCAAACGCGACGTCTCTCCTTCACCTCGGCGCGCGTCTCAATCGGACTCTTATCAATCAGCGTCCTTGGGACGGATGCGCGCGCTAATGCATCAAAGTCGCCGAGCGGGGCGCCGCGCCGATGAGGGCGGGCCCCGTCGCTCCCCGTTAATGAGGGCCCGGAGAGGTGCGAGGGGCCCGGATGAGGGCGGCTCGTGACTTTTAATGGGCGCCCCGCGCTCTCGGCTCTTGTTAGGCGCTCGCACCTCGTCTCCATCTGCGGCGACGGTGATTACCGGGCCTCTCACCTGACAAAGCGACGGCCTCGCCGCGTGGCCAACTGGCACCGGCGGGCGGGAAGGTCAAAACACGTGACCGATAGCGCTGATAAACGGAAGCTGGCCACGGGGCCGAAAGCGGGCCGTGTTTCTGGAAGCTACGCGCCACCGATACTCCAGGCAAAAATTTCAACGCTTGATCACGTTGGCCGCAATCATTTGAACTTTGCGGCGATTGATTCAAATCCTCGATTTATGATTTATAGTATTCGAATGTATATATTTGATATCAACTTGCCACTGCGCTCAAAATAAGTCATGAAAGGACGGAAGGACTTGATTGATCCGATTTGCAAAAAAAAAAAGCAGGATGCGTTCAGTTTAGCCGTTAGTGGTTAGCAAGTTAGCTGTAGCCCTGAATTCGGTTGCGGCGGGCGACCGGCGACTCACCTTCGGGCAAAGGCGCTTTTGCTGAGCCGGTGGAGCTTTCTTTGCTGCGTCGGCTGCCGTCGCTGTTGACCGACAGGCTGGACTTCAATTTGCGCTGCATCCTCTGCGAAACCGGCGTGAAGGGCTCCTTGGTGGTCGGCGTAGCCGCCGCCGCCGACAACCTCGTGCCTGAGGTCGGCCCTCCCGTGGCGCCGGAGCCGGTGCCGTTGGCGCGTGAGCATTTGCACGTTGTCCCGGCGCCAGTGTCGGTGAGCCCAACGCCATTTTGTCCTTTTTCAATCTGAGGTTGCGCTGAAAACAAACAGAGACAAATCGGTCATTCTCCTCCTATTTTTATAGAAACGGGAGAGATTCAAGTTTTCAAGCCAGAAATCGAGTCGTTATTTTCAGTGCGTCGGCTAAAAGAAAATAAACACAAAGCTTGATCTGGCTTCGATAACCTGTTTGTGAAAGGCTCACTTTGTCAATCAAAGTAATGACATGAAGTCAAACTAGGTTGTCTATTTCTTTTCAATGAAAGTTTGATGAAAAATAAAAGTTGAAAGTCATCCGTTCGGTATTCAAGTTACTTTCGGATCTCAACTGTGGCAAGGCTGTTGCAATTCAACTTGTAAGTCACGGAACCACCGTAACCGCGTACAATTATCGCCATCGTTGCTGCCAAAAGAACTTTTTCCTTCAACTCCGTCGACAGTCGACGCCATAACTTGATCTAAAACGAGCGCGAAAACTTTGTCAGCACTCCGCCGTCGGGCGCGGTGAAAAAACGGCATTTGCCCCGTCGCTTCTTAGGGAATCTTCAAGAGCGTGAGCGGCGCGCGATATTGATCAGATGGCAAACATTTCTGCGGTGAGAAGCGCGCAGATGGAGAGCCCTCACATGCGGCAGGATCACAAAAGGCGGCGCGGTTGGCGGCTGGGAGCGGTACCCAGGTGAGTTGAGCGTGAGATTAATGCGAGGGGGCCGGGGGAGGGAGGCGGGGGTGAATAAAAGTGCGCTTCTACAAAATAGCTGCTGTCTGCAACAGTAATGATCTCCTCCACATGAACGCTCAGGTGGCCTCAGCAAGTCTTGGAGCCAGAAGACGGCGACCCCGTCTGATAAGAAAGCGGCGAAGGATGAGAGCGAGCCAAGGATCTCGCCGAGAGGAGTACCTGCACATTCAGCTCTACTGGGAGTTCCTCCTGCATTGGCTCCCCCCCCCCCATAACTGTACACATCAGAGCCTGCCAGCGCAATGTGAATTTCAGATTCGGTGTGTTATTTCCCCCCCTTTTGCCATCCTACACTTTCTCAACTGTCCTAATTGAGCTCCTTTAAAATGTAGAGCAGGGTGGCACCTTGATCACCTTAAAAAGGTTGGGGGTGGGGGGGGGGTAAAGTTGA